TTTTTTTTGTTTTTGTTTTTGTTTTTTAATATATTTTAACTTTTTGCAAAGTCAATTTGTTTTTAATGCGTATCTGTTGGTCTGCCTCTTTGTGTTTGCACGTATAATTTCGAATAATATTGATCATTTACGGAAATAATTTCGAATTTTGATGAATGAAGGTCGGCTGCGGTTATAAAATGCAAAAAGCCGCAAAAAAGGCACAAAAGTATATTTAGCAATATTTAGAAAATGTGAAATACAAAAAACACAGATACAGATACAGATACAGATACAGATACAAATATACATACTTTGAACAGAAACTACGTTGGCAAATAGTCATTCACGAAGAAAAACACCATCACAACCAGGCAATTGGCTATTGACCTTCGTTCTCTTTATTGTGCTGCCTAAGTTATTGTGGTTTTGAACATCATCATCAGTGGTAATATACCTACTTGCTTTGTGCCTATACATACTCTGCCATAATTCTGCCTGCCATAAATATACAGACTCATATCTACCTTTTCTGATGGTAACGATCTTATGACATTTGGTCTTTTTGTGGTTTCAGCTCGCCTCTTCATGTTGGTGCTTTTTTCTCCACTTAGTTTCATTTAGTTTATATGGGTAGGGCAGTGGTGTTAATTTAATAAATCTTCATTTTGTTGTTGTTGAAAGTGCGTAAATTAACGTCTTATCAGAGACAAATAAATTTTAATATAAATAATTATACCCATACCATGCATATATGCATGTATGCATGGTACATAAAATTTATGTATTTTATAGAATTTAAAAACTTATTGATTAATTCTCTTAATGTTATCGAATATTTAAATATAAGAGATATTGCCTTCGCGCCAAGACCTCATCAACATCATAAAAACAATTGTTGTTTTAGTATAAATTCATAAAGTATATCGTTTCATATATGAATGTTAATATTTATATATATGCATATTAGATATATTTACTAATAGAATAGAATTAATAATAAATAAAGATTAGTTACAGATGAGATTATATATATATTTACATAGATTAGTATTTATTGTACTAATCTCTAATTAAACTTTTAAAAATTCTTTTAAGAATAAATACGGATTCTAAAATCCCTCAGACAATTTTAAAAATCCGCTGGAGTAAAACTATGGTTGGTGTTAAGGGGCAACGTATCATCAAAGCTTTTTATATATATTATCTGGGTATACACACCTACCCATAATCAAGCCTGTACAACAGAACCGGACCCATCCCGTCACCGTTTTTTACATATCACCCTCAAGCACAAAAACAAAAACCCTACTAATTAAAATTAAATATTATGCCTGTAATAAGTATTAATATTTTGTAAATTGTATAGAATTTTTAATATAAGGAATTCTTCTGTTGAAGATAAAAGCGAATTTGCCAAAATACGTATAGAAATATACTAAAAACAATAATCGAAATAAAAGCTAAAATTCGATACAATCTGAATCAAACAAGAAATTGTAAAATCATCATGACTTTAGGCACACTAAATACTGGTCATACTAACTGCATCAAATACCTCATTCGTTTTGGTCTTACTGACAATGGCTTATGCCCAGACCATTAAGCATGTACGTTCGTCATCCGCTTTCAAGACTCAGACTTTTAATACTACTGTGAAATATCGTAAGTAGCTCTAATATCAGCACCTTACCTCTTCTACCTTACCTCTTATATGGTGGTTTTAGTGCATTTAAGTCTGATATACATTGTATTTTATTCAAAAGTAAGAGCTAACGTTTATCATAAAATATTTGAGAGAACGCTATAGTAACATACAGAGTACTAAAATAATAGTTAAATAGAAATAATAGTTATCAGGACCAAACCTTCAAAACGGAAAAGAAGATTTACAAACAAATCAGCTTCAAATGAAAAAAAAAAAAAAACAGAGACTGTTCTGAAGATTTTCGAACCCTCGGTCTTATAAGCATCTCTGTATAACATTTTCAATGATCTTCGAATGAAAATCAGAGAAATTGCTGGAAATGCATGAAAGTAAGAAATATATATATATATATATATATATATGAATAAGTATGACAAGTATGACTGTGTTGTCAGCAAGTATGATTTTTGCCATATTTTTTTGTTTGTAAATAACAAAGTTATGTTTCTGATTAGAAACCTTGAAAAAAAAAGTATAAAAATTTAATTGCTCAATACATTAATTCCGGGTAATTCCGGGTAATATAAAACCATTCCACAAAATTAATTCAAATAAACATTAATAAAGCTGTAACAAAGAACTGATATCAACATTAAAATTAAGTCTTCACTGCATACATACGTAAACATAAGATCTTAAGAAACCTATTAGGGAAGTGAGGACTTTATTATGGTTCTACAAAACCAGACTCACATTAACGATAAGCGTTCTTTAGAAATACTATATATTATTACATATTTGTATTATATATTATATATATTATATATGTATATATATTATATATATTATTATATATTATATTATATATTATTATATTACCATATAATTCTTCTAGATATAATAAGAAGAAATTTATCATATGATGTATAGTAACGGGCGAAACATGGTTCAATTACAACACTTCAAATAAAAATCGGTGGTAGGCTGTAGGGCCTTTTAAAGCTCCCAAAAAAATACAGCAGTTCGCTAGAATAATTATGCCAACTGTATTTTGAGATGAGCATGGAATAATAATTATTAATTAACAAAGATAGTATAGTACTGTATATAGCAGTATTTCTCTTTGTCATTAACATGGTTAATTCTGCAAAAACAGTGACCATGAAGTCTTGTGATTGAGCAAGACTTCATAAGAGGTTATTTAAGGGGAGGTGGAAGATGCGATTCGTCTTTCGCCGTTCAAAAAAGTAAAGATATTCGAATTATCTGCTAACAGTTACGAACATTCCTTGAGTATAAAGGGAGGGTATTAGAATTATATTTAAAGCCTTAAGTGAGACGCACCACGAAAAAGGTTCAAAAACATAGCTGTAAAGTTTTATTGGCGCATTTGAAAAATAGAGTCATATAAAACACTCTTATATAATAGTAATGTATCTTATCTTATGTGTATAGAACGGTTACCAAATTGTATGAATTGCACTTTAAACTATTTCTGCACTAAGGGTACCATATTCTCGAGATGCAAACTAGGTTGCTACTACTTGTAGGTATATGCTACTGATCTTTCAAACGTTTAGTAAGCCTAGGTGAACCTTTGTCTTCTGTTCTTCTAAGAAATCTAACACTCTGGATTTTTTATATACAAAATTTGTTCGTTAACTTTAACTCAACAATCCTATAAAAAACACATTAGTTAAAATATAAAATATTAAATCAAAATTAATCGACTTGAAGACAGATTTTAAGAGATAACAAAAATTTATCTGCGCTAAAAGCGTACATTACGTTTTGGATTAACATTTTAGATATATTAAAGACCAGAAGCAGATATGCACTAAAAAATATTGTTTAACGAAATGAATTATATGATCAAATATGAGTTGCAAATGAGATGGTTTCCAAGTGAGTGTTGACAAAAATAACAGCTTAATAAAACCGCAAAGAAACTTTGACTAAAATCTGTTTTACGACTTTATATTTTATAGACTTTTTATGAGTTTTTAAAATCATATAAAGCAAATATTAGAGTGGAAATAAACTGCATACGTTTATAAAAGTAAATATAAATTTGAATAACAAAATAAAAAGATTTTCAACAAAAACTGTTGGAAGATATTTTTTTTTATAATCTGAAAACCGAAATCTATGGAAGACATAAGTTTTAATATAAAAAGTTCATCTGCATACATAATATTTTTTCATACGTAAAACTCTTCTTGATTTCAGGTTGCGCTCTTCAAATGGGTTAGTAGATTACCATAGATTTCTGTATTCTAGATTACTGGACAACTACGCAAGTGCTTTCAATATGAAATTCAATATATTTAGTGTTCTAACATAACTAAATAATAGTATTATAGAAAATACATTATTTGTTATATTTATTTAGTGATATTTTATACTATATCACTTTTATAACATATGACGAGGATGTGTTTTATACATAACTAAATTTATATACGAAAACTTAGATCTAATACCTGACGAAATCTTATATACATACATAACGATATTTTTTATTAAATTTGCCATTATTACCCAATGTAGTTTTCAAATCCCTGAATTTTGTGCGGTGACGCAATATCTCAATGAGCCTTGGTGGATCACTAGGAACGATGATATCACTCAATCTAACTTTAACATTATTTCAGAAAATTTACGTAGTATTGGGTACATAATTATAAGCTAAAATAGTAAATTTGCTGGTATTTATAATAGTACTTACTATTTAGTGGTATTACATACTAGTACTAGTACTTACTAATACAGACACTCGCTATCTAATCTCAAATACTGTCAAATTCAAATCAGTAGTGAAAGATACTTCTATTTGTGAATATCTAAAATTTTTGTTTTGTTGACTCAAAATATTGATATCAAATATATTGAATAAGCTATATTAATGTATCCACCTATCTAATCTATCTGAATGCATACATATTTCTAAGCAAAAATTATCGTAAAATGTAAGAAGTTGTTTATTAATTGGGGTTATATTAAGATTGAGAGGCCAGTTTTTTCAAGCAATGAAACATTGAAATAAAGATCAGTTCTATACCAAACTATTTTACTCAGCATTGCAACTTTTCAATATATCCAATATTGAATGTATAACAAAATATAGGACATTGCTTAATCGGCTTACAAGTCCTTCGAAAAATATGATTGAAATAGAATAAATAATCTAAATTCATTATTTTTATTTCAAATGCAAGTATATAACATAGCTTCTGGATTTTAACTATATCACTAGTTTTTAATTACAATTAAAGATGATTCACATAAAATTGTAGGTACAATTAAATTTATAGTCAAGTTTCTTATTTAAAAAAAAAACATTATTTATTTACCAATTATACTAAAAGCTTACCGGAATTTGCACAAATGATCCATTGTTCATGGTGGGATAAGAGAATAGTGGTACTACTGGTACACTGCCATTTTTTAAAAATATCGGACCCTGTATTGGTGTTACTGTGGGCATTGAAGATTTTTTGCTGCCATCTAGAGAAATAAAAATATGTATAATATTAATAAAGTATTTTAGAGCTATAAATAATATTACATTTTATATTAAAATGACTAAAAAAGTATCTAGCTATACATAATATTATATAGTGAGCGCAATTTACTTAGACGCACTTAATATTTTTTCAAAAATGATACAACGAACTCGAATATAAATGTTTTTTTTGTTGAAAAAGAAAAAGCAGTGCTTGATAGTAAAAAACAAAAAAGAAATATATTTCATATCAGTCATTCTTCTTACATATGTACAAAAACACAAAAATAAGGCAAAATAAACGCGCAATTTTCTTAGGCGCACTATGTTTAAACAAAAGAAATCAAAGAGTTTTCACAGTTTTGACAATGCTTAATACTTTATAATTCCTCCGTTTTGGTTTATAACTGAAAAAATTCGATTTGGCATCGAATCTATCAATTTTTTGATAATCACATCGTCGATTTTGTCCCAAGCCTCTTGGATTGATGCTTTGAGCTCACTCACTGTGGAATACTGACGTCCGTTGGCATAGACCTTCCGTGAAATTATTCCCCATAGGTTCTCAATGGGTTTTAGGTCAGGACTCCTTACTGGCCAATTCATTATCGTTATCTGCTTCGACGAGAAGTAAGACTTTGAAAGCTTGGACACATGAATGGCGGCGTTATCCTGCTGGAAAATTAGATCCCGATCGGCGTGTTCCTCCAGAAACTTTATAAGAACGTCATTCAGCATTTCAGTGTACTTCTCTGAGTTCATTCTTGTATTTATGAAGCACAAAGTAAGTTTTCCATGGAGTGAAAAGCCACCCCATATCAAGACAAATCAGCCTCCAAAGTTTCTACTCATTTTTATGGGATTGTTTTGGCGACGATCATGCCAGTAAGAGCTGAAACTGTCTGGCCCGTCCAAGTTAAATTTTTTCTCGTCCGAAAAAATAACCGAGTGCCATTCTTTGATCCAATGCATATGATTTTTAGCAAAAACAATGCGATTCTTCTTGTGCATTTCTTTCAGATGGGGCCGTTTCATCATTTTCTTCCATTTTATGTGGCCATCTGCATGTAAAATTTGCAGCACTCTTCTTTTTTTAATTGGTAGCTGCAATTTTGATGCGATTTGAGCTGCACTGAGCCGATTTTTTGTTGCTTCTTCCTTTATTTGGTTTTTGAGTCGCCGATTTATCTTTGCATTTCGCTTGTTATTCGTAGGGGCTTTACCATATTCCTCACCCAAACGTGAAAAATTTCTTACAACGTGTTCCGATCGGTTTATGTGGCCTGCAATTTTCCTCTTTGAGAATCTATTTTGATGTAAACACCCTATTTTGGCTTTTTCTTCAGCGCTCAGAAATTTTCCGTTTGCCATTCGACTTGCGCAAATGCGGAGCCTATTTCGTAAAGAATTTGTATGGTTTTTGCTTTTAGAATATTAGCTCAAATATTAATGTGTTATGAAATACAAACCTTTTTACAGAACAATCAAATAAACTAGTCCGAACTACCGAAACAAATATATGCGTCTATAAAAATTGCGCACTTACTTAGCTTCTTTTTTATGAAATTCATCATTATAACTTTGCAAAATAAAAATCACATTCCTTTTATGTTTGTTTACGTTTAGTAATGGAAAAGAAAAAACAATAATGAAAAAAGATCAATAGCTTTGCTCTTTAACAAAAATAAAAGCATTTTTTTTGTGTGCGTCTAAGTAAATTACGCTCACTGTATATATCTAGTTATACCTACATTATAATATACATAACTTTTTATTTTTTGAAGTTTTCAAATACACTATATGTCATCACATCTTAATTCTTGCGACATCCAGAATTATAGCTGAGATAAATTATTGATGTCGCGCTAGATAGATACTTTTTTTAATATCATATTAAAAGATACTATTCGTAAATTATATTGTTTGAATTTAAAATCCTCTTCTAAATATTTCTTCATAGACATTTTTTAGGATTTAAAAAATTCTTTTATTTTGAATAGATACCATTTTTCACAGACCTCATAATAACTACTTTAAATGTAACCTAAACATTATTATTATAGCCTTAATTTTTTGTTTCAGAGTGGTAAAAAAACAGCATTAAGTCTGATTGAAACAAATTGGCATCACTATGTCAAATGCTTTTTTTTGTCATGTGTTTTTAGTTGTGTTGTGTACAATATGATATATTATTATTGTTAACATTAAAAATTAATTAATATAAATAAAAGAAAACAAAATAAAGTGATATATTGCAATTTGTTATTATATCTGCTCATATGACTGCAACGAATGACTGCAACATTTGCAACATGTTTCCAGTGAACACACAGAATAGAATGATCTTTAAATTTGTTTGCACTTAAGATTTCAAATTTTTTGCGAGTAAATCGTAACTCTGAAGATTTTAAGAGCATTGTTGTTGCTTCACATGTTGTCTTTCGTAAGTTGCGAGTATTTTTTTGCTGCTCTGATAGAAAAAATTACGGCATTTTTGATATTGGCCACTAAAGTATACAAACGCTAATCTGTTTAACTAATTTAACATTAAAATAAAAATGCTGCATTATTTCAGTTTTATGCTACTTGCTCGAATTTTTTAATTTTTTTATATAGTATATAGTATATATTGGAAACACATTAGTAACAAAGTTTGGAATAAATTTTCCCTTAGTGGCTTAATTAATATACTACAATGCATTAGTAAATTAATTCGCTATCACTGTCTGACACTCCACATCAGAGATATAGATATATACAGTAAATAAGATTAAAAACTATTATAAAATAATTTTTATATACATTTACCAGACGGTAAGTATTTTTTCTGTTGAGCCAAAGATATAAATATAGCTTTTAAGAAGAAGATCAGGAGTAATCTTCCTGTAAATTTTTTTACAATCCAAGATAATAATAGAAAATAATAAAATAATAATAACAGAATAATAGAAAATAATAAAATAAATAAAAAATTTTTTTTTGATTTTTTAATAAGTAATTTAATTGTACTTTTATATTGTGCACTGCAAGTGTCAGAAATTGAATTGATATAGTTAATTTATATAGCTGTGGTTTATGCATTTGTTTGAATTAATATGATATAATCTGAATAAATAACCAAAATAAATCAGTCCGAATTTGAAAAACTCACTGGTTTCAAATTCTTATACTTACAATTTAAGAATTAAATTGGATCAGTAGATATTTTTAGTGAGCACTTATCATAGATATTTGGCGGTATCTGAAACAGCTATATGGTCAGCACAAGAATTCACTTGATTGAAACTTTAACAAATGCCTTTAAATGTTTGTTTTATAAAAAAAGAAAATAATTAATATTAAGGGTTTTGCTTTTATTTATCGAGTCAAGTTGTTTATGTATTGGTTGCAGTGCCAATAACATATGTGGTATCATACGTATTATAAGCAAACCGTACATTAAAGTGTTTATTGGTTTTTTGTATGAAAAATCAATGAACAAGTAAGTATATCCAAAAACCACTTAAGATGGACATTTGGCAGTATCTCAAACGGCTGTATAGTCAGCTCATAAATTCACTTGCAGAAAAACTAAAAAATGTTTTAAATATTAAAAAGTTTTTTTTTTGATGATAGGAATATGACAGCAAAAACGCTAATTGGACTATTGGAGAGTTACCACTTTAACCCATCAACCAAAACCATTTTTTACACGAAATAGGTATGGAGTTAATTGGGTACTCTGGGTACTCATAATTCTTTTAAATAACTAGCCTCATTTTCTATACGAAATATATGCATTGAGGATACCACTAATTGGGTAGTTTCTGGGTAGTCATATCTCTTCTAACTAGCGAACTTCTATTTTCTATACGAAATATATTTGTCAATGAAAGCGCTTACTGATCTCTAGGTAGTCACAACTCCACTAACCAACTAGCCTTATTTTCTGCACGAAATATATTTATCAAGGAAAGCGTTTATTGATCTCTGGATAGTCACAACTCTACCAACCAACTAGGCATATCTTCTATACGAAATATAAATGTTGGAAGAACCGCTAGTTGGTCTCCGGGTAGTCTCAACTTTAACCAATCAACTAGTCCCATTTTCTATACGAAATACACATGTCATCAACCAATGTCATCACTATTCTAACTAACCAATCAGCCCATTTTCTCTTTGTTGTCATGGAACAAAATAATTTTTTAGTTAGAAGTACCAGAAATTAATGGAAATTCTTACAATTTCACGAATTTATTATATATTAATACTTGCGAGTAAGTTAAAACTATTACTGTCACTGGTTTATATCATTCGCAATTCACTGGTTCACTGGTATTAACAAAAGTCTATTGAATAAAGATATTCTATTAACTTCTAGTAGTTCTATTTTTGAGTATAAATTTGACGGTAAATAACTTGAAATTTTAACGATTTTGTCACGTTATTATTTTAAATTTATTTTAATCATGTCACAATCTTAGAAGAGTTGCAATACCAATACAACTTACAAGATACACAGTTCTAATAACACGAAGTTCTTAAATACTGTCTTTTATTCAAACTACACAATATGTTATTTTAGTACGAAAATTAAATGAATTTATTTTTAAAAGCAATTATGCACGGTTTTAGTCGCAAAAATATTTGGTCTTACAGCCTTGAAGACTTGAAGTAACTAAAATGAATCAAGTCTATTTTCTCGTAACTACGTCTACACTTCAGTCTAACATTTCGCAACTCCAGCACGGAGTAAGAATTAATATTACACATGCATATTTGCGTCATTACCTACACGTACGAGTACAAGAGTCTTATACATGTCATCTTCAATTAAACCCAACCGACAATTTCACATATGGTACCAGAGAGACGGCAACGGCGATTGCATGAAAACTGCAATCGCTGGCTCATTAGCATAGCGATAGCGATCGGCGAGATCAGCAAGATCGTCAAGATTGGCAATAATAATTGACAATATTCATTCATGCCAACAGCCGACACTCTGACGGTACAAATG